GTTCTGTTTGACTGACGGTCATACAAGAAACAATAAAACTTCAAGGCTATTACTGTTGAACCTTTGCCAAAATAACCTGTCGAGTGCATCACACGGCAAACTTTGTGAGGGTGCGCTCATACTTTGCGACTCGGCGTTTTAGGTAATGAACATTTTGAACGAATTGGCGTTTTGGGCACTTACACACCTCCCTTCTCCTTATTCAATGATGAAGTAGGCCACTATCGCGTGCCCCCTCTATATTTTTCGGAGCCCAAAGTGAAGATAATTCAGCATTTGGGCTGTTTCACACGACAGCGAATTACGAATGACATTCCTAGTCGTGTAGGGCAAGCCTTTGCCTTCAAAGGTATTTACTGTATTTCCTCGCCTATGTAATGGACCAGACTTCGATATTCTTCTATTTACGTATTTATTTAATACGAGAGAAATCGAATCCCTATCCCTCAGCCACATGTCCTATAAGATATTTTTCTTTAAAGTGCTATTGAGGACTGGTTCATGCAATCTTTCCGGTTAGCTTTCGCTGAATAACAGCTTCTCCAGACTTTGAAACAATTGAACATGAGCAGTATTACCATCTTCACAACATCAAAGTCATCGAAAGCAATATCCAGATCTGCTCACCAAGTGTGCATTACGTTACACTGCATTTACATTTGTTACGCGTCTCACAAGGGAACCCAACAGGTCGATCCTGCCATTTACAATGAGATGTATACGTATGGACGTGTCTTGAGCCGCTGAATCCGAATCTGCCCTCCGATTTTGCGGAACGATTCTCTGAAGGGAGTTACGGACCATTTAATCTTTGCTGTGTTTGCACAAGCTGACCAGGAAAGGCCAACACGTCAGCCCGGCCATTTGCAACGAAATGTACATCATTGTACTCATCTTGCCACGATGAACACAAGACTATCTTTAAAATTTGCGGAACGATTCTCTGAGCGGAGTTGTGAGGTTTTTCTTTATTGCTTTTCTTCTTCCGGGCGCGCCAGCGCCAAAGCGTTAGCACCTGTAGCGCAACTCACAGCGCTCTTCGCGCAAAACAGGTATCACAATTCGTGTGCAGGTGGCGTCGTCGAAACCCACCCCTAGAGACGTCACCCCAGCGGAATCCGAGGTTCTAACTCATTTTCGAGAAAATGGGTTATGAATAGCTGTGGCTGACTGATAGCCAAAGCGATACTACGACTACCATACTGATGATGACTGGTTTTCCAACTGAAATACCTCTTCATGTGCCTTTTCGCAAAGACATTACCCGGCTTACTTATTCTTGCCGTTTGCATCATCGTCCTCTTTACAGGTAGTTCCATCTCGAGACCATTCACCAACGGTAGGTGAGCTCCCCTATGCTTTCGATTACCCATGAAACAGCACACATTTTCCAAGTTAGGTGGAAATATCAGATTCGGCTAGAAATTTGTCCCCAGGGGTAGTTTGACCCGCTGAACATGAATATGATGGTATTTCATTGCAAAAAACCCTTGTGACATGTGGTTATCCTCATATAAAAAAGTTTCAAGAAACCATGGGGAATCGCCCGCCTTTCGTTGGCAACTAATCAAGAAATTAGGCGAAATGGCCAAATAGAAATTTCGGAGGGCTCATACCAAGTGTTTTGAATGAAAAGCAAAGACGTTCGACAGCCAAGGATTCCAACCACTCGATGTCTCGTGTCTCTGAAGCAATGCACTTATCCACTAGGCCATCGGCGGCTTGCCGCATGCAGTTATCCTTCTCAACTTGAGCCGGAGCTAAGATTAAATGGTCCGTAACTCCCTTTGGAGAATCGTTCCGCAAAATCGGAGGGCAGATTTGGATTCGGCGGCTCAAGACACGTCCATATTTATACATCTCACTGCAAATGGCCGGATCGACCTGTTGGGTTCCCTTGTCAGACACACGCATTAAGAAAACTTTTGACGAAGTTATTGTGAGCAAGCTTGCTTAGTGCTTGCGATGAACTTAATTTACTAAAGATGGCAGTACTGCGTATGTCTAATTGTATTAAAGGTCTGAAAAAGCTGTTACACAGGAAGACCTTGCCAAAAAAAGACTTCATGAACGAGTTGTCAATAGCACTCAGATGAAGAAAATCAAAGTTGAATAGTAAACCTTGGAGGGAACCAAAAAACTAAGATATACAAATGATACTGAAAAATTTGTTGCTGTGTTCAAAAACTTTCACACACGTTGTCGGACTACGCAAATAACCGTGCTTTATACCTCCAAAGAACGGCTATCAGTAAAAACAAGCTACCTTATGACGCTTACTGGAGGAGATTTTCGGGCAGCTGTTCGGCCGTCACCGTAGTATAAGGAGAAGGACGGGGGGAAGTGAGGCATATGGAATTCGGAACTGAAAACAAAGTTCGTTCTATTTCATAGCTTTACAGGAATTCACACGGTCTCCATAGGACCCTTTCACCTAGCAAAATACCCCCACCAAGACGACCAATTTTTTTTATATCTCGACCCGATACAGCCGCAAACAAGTGTGCGCCTCAAGTGATCTCTCTATACACCAACTAGAACGAAGAGGCAGTGATTCCATCGTATGGAAAATGTACAGGAAGTATTCCTTCTTCATATGAATGAGAGAAAATAGGGACCTTTTCTATTCGATTACAGCTGACACGTTGAGACGTCACAGCACGGCGATCTTTGATTCCGTGAGTTCGGAAAGTGTTTACAGTCACACTGAAAAGCTTCAGAATCAATGGTGTCCTGAGTATTTCGGATTCGCAACTAACTTGAGGAATTTAGCAAGAACGCCCAAAGCGTAGCTAGTGTCCTTGTTTTCTTTCGCTAACGTAAAGTGACCCTGATTAGGGCAATCCTTGTTCCAACGTTTTCGCTTTCTGAAAGAGTGAAATTTACGATAGATAGGCGCTGATGTAGCACGGGTACGTGTCCAAAAAGTCGCCTGTAAGGAGAGAGACGGGTTATCGTCGTTACGTAACTCGCTAATGACGAGTACTGACGTCACACTGACGATTCGTCTAGTATAAGTTTTACCGTCATCTCCTAACTCTAGGATAGCTCGAAAAGGGGGGAGAGGAGGGGGCATTTTGCAAATCCGTTACATTCCGTCCACGTGTGGGCCCATCTAGTAAGCTATTTCATAAGGTTACAAGAGTTGCAGATTTCACCATGGTGGCTCGACGAGCTAGCTCGAGCTCCACAGAAGTCAGGGTTACAACAGAGTGAGACTTGTAAAGCGACACTAGTGGAGCAGCGAAACCGCGAAGTGCCCCCTCGTTGCCGAGTTGCTCACTATTCTTGACATGTAACGGGACGCTGCACGTGCGGTGCGTTCAGTAGAATATGGCACATTTCTAAAGGACAATAACGGAAACCTTGCTCGACTGCCTATACCGCAGTAGTTGACCTCGATAGCATTTTCCTTTGTTTCCGTACTCAGTTTTCCATGATATCGCAACCTCACGAATTCATGTAAAGTTTTTCGATCGTCCTTGCTTAAGCCCTACAATGAAAAACTTGACTATAAATTCATGCTTTCAGCAGCAATGAGAAGTGAATATTCGCATACTGTGGCAACATGAGAGAGCGCTCATACATTGGGACGTATTGGGTGACCAGGGAAGCACAGGTATTGATTCAGCGTTTTGAGCGTCCACCAGCGTTTTGACCGCCAGTGTTCTGAACTAAGAAGTCTAAGAATTGATTATCGTCGAAAACGCTAACGCTCGAACGCTGGTGGCGTTCAAAACGCTGAATCGATACTTTATACTTCCTAAGTCGCTCGAAACGCTCAGAACGCTAAAAACTCGCCGCGAAATGTGAACACACTCTAATGAAGTAATGACCGAAACTAAATAAAACATACTTCACAAGATATTAGTAGCGGCTTTGAATTTTTATCCATAGCATCCATGCTCTGGAGGTGTTCACTATTCAAGAAGGAAGGCACTGTGACAGTCTCATCAACACTTCTCTCCTCTTCCTCTTTCACATAATTCCTGATCTCGTCCGCCGTCCGAAGTTGTAGTACAGTTTTATCCTCTGCAGGCATATTATCATTGAGACTTGGGATACCGGATTCGGTTAACGCAGTTTATGGTAGCAATTGTTAAGACTCATTCATACTCTGCGGCAGCGTTTTGAGACGTCAGCGTCTAAAGAGTCGCTTTCAGCGATAACCGACACCTCCACACCTATAATTTCCTAGTCGTTCGAAATGCTCAAAACGCGGTCGACGCCAAAAACGCAGGCGGACGCCAGGACAGTAGATCGGTACATTTACGTTCCTAGTCGCGCAAAACGCTGGCGGGCGCTCAAAACATTGCCGCAAATTATGAACCAACACTTACACGGATTTGAGAAAGTCGTCCTCAACGAGTTATACACATTACAGCATCTTGCTAATCACCTAATAAATTGCAACATGTTTCTCATATTGACATGTTGTAACAGAATGAGGCATTATAACGAAGAACGTTCTTGCTAACACTGCTACCAAAACTGCCATATACACTCAAACTGAAAACAGGAAAAAAAAGTGAAGCTTACTCACCAAGAACTTCCTGCACGATGAAATCAGAGTATAATTCTTTTAACACGCAAGGGACACTGATCTCACGGTCTCCAAGATAATTTGTGATACCAAAATCCGTTCCATGACTGTGATAACAAACAGTTGAAGAAGCGTGAGTAGCGAGCCAAGGAGAGGCGATAACCGCCGAGTGAAGCGAAGAGCGCTGAATTTTTTGGACGGCGCTTACCGCGCTCCATGGCCACCTTGTGAAGGCGCCAATACAAAATTGGGTTTAATTCTGGAACATCTCAGTTTCATCTTTCACTAGATTCCTCTCCTAGTAAATTATTATCTACTTTAACTAGATGACTGATTATTTAATTAACGATCTCTCGTATGCTATCTTACTAACTCATAAGACCGGCTGCTATGATGGATGCATTCGTCGTTATACATACTTGTGGCAACAACATTTTTGTTTCTTGTACTGAATGGTTTCATTGCTCTATCTCTTCGTTAAGTGATTCCCTGGAACCTTGCTCAAGTTTATCCTCAGACAAGCAAGCTCTATCCGCTCTTGAAGCTCACTGTTACAGAGCTCCATAGTCGCAATTAAAACCACAATTTTGAGTGGATGTAGATTTGGTGGCGCATCCCGAAAAGAGGTCGATCTTCGCCGAATCACATCCTACTATATGAGGAAGCTGCTCCAGGGAGTACGCGTGCTGTTTGTTCGGTATCTTCTTCGCCTAATGTCATTCCTTTAGTGGCCAAGGTGAGACCGCCAAAAGGGGCGCGGAATGCTCGGAAAAATGCCAGATCAAATTCCGCTCTGGATCAGCCTTTTATCCTTTTAGAATCCATTGCTTAATACAACGATCCTGTTACAATAGGGATGAAAACACTGGTTCGGCTTGTTTCTGCGAGTTATAGTAGGCGTGGTACGCATTCAAATCGCATTTCGAACCTGAATGTATATCGAATACATGCTCTAGGCCGAATTGGGTTACATCGTCGACTACCTAATTCTTTCTCTTTCTTGCGTACATAATATTGAAATGGACTGGTTACTTCATCAGCGTCTCTCTGTTCAGCACTTCTATTTCCTTACAAACTCTTGTCGAGTTGGACCTAGCGTAATGGCAAGTGGCGCTCTTGCGGCTTGCGCGGGTCGAGGGTCTTCCGCCCAGGCATACCTAGTTTTACTTCCTCCGAGATGGTACCGGTTCCCGATTTGTCTGGGAGGACAGCACACTGACTTGTACATAGGACGTTGTTGAAATCACAAGGGGGCTCGTGCTTGACTCCTTGCGATTTCAACAGGAGTGGACGGGGGGGGAGGGGGGGTGTGAGGGAGGGGCGGCGGCCGTAGGCGGAACTCACCTTTAGAAGTGGGAAGAGCAGCATTAGTGGGATGGTGTACAGTCACTGAATAATAAAAGATCATAGTTCATGCTGTGAAGAGCAACTAACGAGGCACCTGGGGGCAAAGAAGTTGCACAAAGCTGTCTCGGGACGGCAATCTTCTCTCTCTCTTCTATCAACTTTGTGTGTCGGTTTGTCGGTATGTAGGTATGTATGTATGTCGGTTTGTATGTCTGTCCGTCCGCAAAGTGCTTCACAGGATTAAACAGGTTAGTGAAAGGAGAAAACGACCGCAAGACAAACCGGGATTCGATCGGTGCAGATGTATCAATCCAATGTTTTGATTGTGATAACAGCATATATAAGACAACCATTCGGTACGCTCCGAGCATTGCACGAGCTGCTCGGGTGGCAGCTGGACGTGAGCTCGTGCGGGGGCAGGGTGGGGTGAAGCCGGGGGGGGGGGCACCGAGTGACCCCTCTCCCTCTGCTTCCTTCCCCTGCACGTGCTCAGCCGGACCTGAGCATGTGCAAGGGAAGGGGTCCGGTGAGGGGGTGCGTAGCGCACGCTCGAGTGGAAGCACGCAGCAACAACAACAGATAAGAAAACAACCGCTAGAAAAATTGCAAATTGATCCATAATAAAAAAGGCCATACGATGTTGTTTTGATTGTGGATACCCTCATCCTACTATATATAATCCGCTATGTCCATGCGTGATGTGTGTGTGTGTGTCCATCTGTCTGTCTGTCACGAAATTCATAGCTCCGGTCCCAGTAACAGTGGGACATTGATTCCAAGATATGATGTAGGGGGTGTGACGGGAAAACTAATGTGGGTGACAGAAAGTGATATCAGTTGATAAGGTTCGATAAGGGGTCTCGGAAGGAGAGGGTCACCAAATCGTAACGCAGGCTTCCAGCAACAGGCGAGACAGTCGGAATCGAGAGGTGATAATAGGGTGTGGAAAGGGACATTACTTTGGCGGGCTGACAGAAATATAAACCAGTTGATAAAGAATCAGAAATAAGCGGCTACAGGAAGGGGAGGCTCGCGGTCGAAAGCAGGCTTGTCCTGCAGAATCGATATCACAGATCAGGTCAACACTGATTAATACCCTGCCGATTTATACTCCAACAGCGCAGCAGATCAATGCCGCAAGAATAAAATGAATCTATCTCTCAATAGAGGCAGAAGTCAGTGTATTACTGCAAGATCTATAGCGCCCTACATTAGTGCTCAAAGGAGTAGATGGAAAAATGGGACGATATAGACCCCCTTGTTAATGAGGTTGATTCGCACCTATGAGTTCGAGGCCATAACTTGACGAGCGTGCGAAAGCCAGTCATTAAGCCGAGCACGTCGTGCTTCACGGCGGTTGCCTCGGCTAAAGAAGACGAGTCATTAAAGCTTATCAAACTTCATGACATGAAATTCAATCGAAAAATTTATCGCTAAAAAAGTGGTTTAAAAAGGGTTGCTATATTGTTTTCAGCTATTCATGAGTTTCACATTAATTATTATCGCCGTATATTATTATTATTATTACCATTAATTTCAAACAAAAACAATGTGTGCCAGTCTGAGGCTAAAAACATCTGACCTGCGCATTCACAGTAGCCCTTTTTTCATTACTCAGAATGTATAATTAATCGACGGATTGAACTGCCCGAGCCATCACGCAAAAGGTCTGTCAAGTAACTGATCGTGGAAATTCGAAAAGGAATGCTCCCTGCCTCGTCTACGGGGTGCGAGTAGCAGCGACAGGATGTTTGCTTCCTGACCGGCATAGTAGAGTGCTGGGGGAAAAGTGTATGGGGAGGAGGGCTCCACGTGGTAAGAAGTTGCTGGTACAGGGGTAACGCGGTATGTTGGTTCCTGGCCGACGAAGTGAGAAGGTGCTAGTGGGAGGAAATGTGCAGGTGATACAACCCCTACGTCATACGAAGGTGCTAGTCCCGGATAAAAATTGTGAGGCGGTGTTACATACAAAGTTTGTGGGAGACGACGTCTGAGGAAACCCTGAAAACGGAACGGCTGCATCCACATAAGAGCAGGATTTGGCAGAATATAATAATGGTGGATTAGTACTTGAATAAATGACAACATAAGCTTGCTCAAACAAATACCTCGCGTGTTCCTTTCCACCTGTTAGCTTAATTATCTGCTCATGCCCTCTCGTTTGAGTGTTGTGATTTAGGCCGTGCTTTCCAAGTGATAAAGAAGTCATTATCGGGATAATATGAAGAGGCCAGAAGCTCATTACCTGAACTAAGCCGCCGAAGGCAGGCAGTGAGGTTCAGCTATATCCAAGGATGCACTTCGTAAACAATATGGGTTTCTACGAGAGATTGAGCGTGTAATTTTTTATCGATGCTTGGTTGGAAGCTAGGCATTATACCATTCCAATTAGTTTGACAGGTAGCGCTACCTTATCGTATTACTTTTTCGTAAGCCTTCTTCCCTTTGGAAAATCTCACGTTTTTTCAATCTGTTGAGAGCTTTCACTCAATTTGTGCCGATCTTGGTAGCTCGTGCGTGCCTCGGCCGACCTGCCTCAGCTTAGAAGTCCCTTCGCACCTCGTTAATTATGCCTCGAATCATAGCTGCGACAAGACATTAACAAGGGGTCAATCGTTCCATTTTCCTACGACCCTTAGTGCTAACGAGTATGTAATCCAGTAGCCATGGCATGGAAGGTGCACAAATCCGAATTTCATGCAAAACTGAAAGGTCGTCTTGGATCACAATACAATGTGAGGAACACACATTCTCCATTGAATGCAATCCCGAAAACAAATCGAGCATAGTAAACATCAACTTCAATCATGCCGTGATCCAAAAGAACTGCCGTACGGTTTGCGATGGCAAATAGAAAAATTTCGTAACGGAGGTAACACTATTCTATCCAAAATTCAGAACAACATTGACGATATTTTCAACGTTAAAAGACACCTACGCCCTCTAAACCTATACATTGGTTGCAAAATTTAAGATTACCCGATATCAAGTAGGCGTGGCCATGACATATCTGTTCGGCCCTCTAGTCGTTGTAGTTTTGATAAGAATTATCGTGTTCCTAACGAGGACACTCCCAATTATCGCGACCTGCGTTGGGCGATTTGCCATAGGCACCGTCAGGGTGATATGGGTAACCTTTCAGTTCACAGCGTCCACAGCGCAGCAAGTAAGGAATTATGTAACTCAAAATCGAAATTGATCTCGAGTCATATGCAAAAGGACCTATTACATACGTAATTCCATAATTTTTAAACGAGCAAAGCAATAAACCCATCTAGTGCGAGCGTGGGCGGAGCCACAGTGCGCAGTGGTACATTCAAACTTACATATAAACAATGGAATGCTCGTATAAAAGCCGGTAAGAAAGACGAGAGGCCAAAAATGGCTCACTACGAACCTCTACTCGACAGCGATCTTCCCGAGCTGCTAAAAACCCTCGATCACAAGAGCGACTCATTCTGCTGTGATTCGAGGAACTCTCTTCCGCAGTAACTGCTCGGCTGGAGCAGTTCGAAGCCACCATCGACAGACTGTCGTCTATCCAGCATTCGCTGGACTATTTAGCAGCTTGAAGCCCGCACTGGAAGTGCTAGTTGAGCGTTCGACTCCACGCTCGGCGTGCATTTTTTGCACGCTGGAGGAGAACGTGGACTCGCACCCCAGCGGGCGCTACCCGCGTTTCCCAGACACCTACATGCGCACTTTCCAGGTCTCAAAAATGGGGCTCTGCGGGCAGTGCTTAATGTTCTGGAGTGCCTA